CGATCTGTACCGCCCTCGGGTGCCGCCCGCCGGCCCCTTCTCCTTCCCCAACAAGAGGCCTAGCCCCCAAGACAACAAAACTACAGCTCATCCTGCAGGCACATGCCTCGTAGCGCCCCGAAGCCTCCAGTACCCCAACGCGGACTGCGGATACGCTCAGGGAAATGGCGGAGGTGGGGGGAGGGGAACCGAGCAACGTTTCCTCGCTGAGAATCGGCCAACCACCAAGCAGCCCCCCAAACGCCTCCCTCAAGCGGCAAAATTGGCCTCCGACTTTCACCCTCACGCGCCGTCCGCCCAGCCCCGCTCCTCACCGCGCGAGGTCGTCGTCCCTATGCCGCCGCGCCGCCTCAACCGGTCACAGCTAGACAGAAAACGAGCGCAGGGCCCCGCTCTCCCCCGCCTCCCGCGCTCTCCTACGCCGCCGCCGCGCCCGATTGGCTGCTTGGGCTTCAGCGGTGGCGCCTAGGCGAAGCGATTGGTCTAAGGCCGCGTCTATCAAAGCGCCAGAGGAAGGCGACACCCCCGCCTCCCACCGGCGCCTCCCTTCAGGCTGTGAGGCCGCTAAGGGCCCGAGGAAAACCGGACTTGGAGGAAGTCAACGCAGCCGTTAGGGAGGCCAATCCCCTGCCTGAGTCTGTAATACCCAAGTCCCAATAACCCCAATTACCTATAGGCTGTAAACAAGCGGGACGTAAGCAAGACGTAGAGGTTGGTGCAGCAGAGAAACAGAGGATAATGGCGTCTGCAGCGCTTTCGCCTGGAGCGCCCTCCTCCTTTCCCGTTCGCGCACTCACTAGCTGGGGGAGGGGAAGGATCTCTCGCGAGAACTCAAGCCGGTCCCGTTCACTAGTACAGGGAGGGGGCGGGAAAGGGGCGTTTTCGGCCCGAAGAAATCTTTTGGGTTTGGAGGAGGGGCGTGAGCTCGCGGCAAATCGGGCGGGAAGAGGCCAAATAGGATTAGGGCGCGCGCCGTTTCGGTTCCTGTTTTCTGAGTCGCGCGGCCTGGGAGCTGCTGTTGCACGAGGGGGAAGGCGAGAGTCCCAGGTCGGTAGTAGGCTCAGACGAATGCCACCGTTTCCTCGGGCCACACTCGCGTTTCCCCCTCTCTCCACACGCCCCTCCCGCCCGGGCTGCCCGGCTGCGGGGCGTACACCCGCTGTTGGTAATGGGCCGCAGTCCCCGTTGGGCGGGATCCCGGGCGACGCGGGCGGGTCCGCGGGGTTGTGGCGGTGAGCCTCCGAGTCTTGGAGAACTTGTCCCTCTGGTTCCGACCTTGAGCCCGCCCGTCCGGGGGATCCAGGCGTCTCTACAGGGCTCCCCGTTATGAAGAGACCTTTCATGCTATTCCTCTCTCTTTTTTTTCTTTTTGTCAATGGGGCCTGCGATGCGAGTATTCTGTAGTGTCGCTGCATTTTATCTGAAAAATTTCTGGAAGTAATATCGCATTCATCCCAAGTGAATGCAAACATCAAAATACGCGTTCTGGTGGTTCACCTATTAAAGAGCTTACGGTGTGTCGAGGTATTCCGCGGTGATCAGAACATCAGAACCTCGCCGAGCGCCAGCGTTTCCGGTTTAGCTGTCCATCCAGTTTACACTCGCTTTGTGTTAGGTCACTTCTGGGGCCCCTGCGCTAAGCTTTGACGGTCTCCTTTCTGAAGGCCCCCCGAATCCTGCCAAACCCGGGAAATCGCCCGGCGTGGCGGTGCCCAGTTCTCACATCACCACTCCTCAATGTCTCTGTCACATTGATGTCTCTCTCTGTCTTTCTCCCTCCCTTTCACTCTCTAAAAATCAATGGAAACATATCCTTGGGTGAGGATTAACAAAAAAAACCTTGAAATATCTTGAAATATGTGAGGCTCATTGAAAATTAATCTAGAAATCAAATATGCTTAAGTCTTCGTGATGAGTGATAGAATTTTCCTACACTTTTCTTTCTGCTCAGTTCCTGCAGTCAAGATCTCAAATGTAGATTATTGTGGTCAGCCAAGTTTAACATGCACAAAATATCAATCAAAGTGTGTTTAAAAATTTTTTCATGATTACAGAATTAGTGGGGATTAAGATATGTGTAGTTTTATAACTGGCCTTTTCTCTAACAAAATAAAATATGAACATGTCATTAAACTGGCCTTAAAAATGTTTTTTAAAGATGCTATTATCTTACATTTCATAGATTGTTGCTGTTTTTTCCCCCCACACTATAAAAACAATGATAAACACTCTGGCACATAAGTCTGTAATTTCATTCCTGATTGTTTTCTTTTTTTTAAAAAATTAATTTATTTTTTATATTTTTCTTTTTTATTTAAAAAAAATCTTTATTGTTGAGATGATTACAGATGTCCCTCTTTCCCCCCCCATTCTCTGCCTCCACCCAGTTCCCGCCCTAGGCCTTCACCACCCTATTGTCAGTGTCCATATGTAATGCGTATAAGCATATAAGATCTTTGGTTAATCTCTCTCCACCCCCACTCCTCCCTTCCCTCTGATTCTTTTTTTTTTTAAATTAAATCTTTATTGTTCAGATGATTACAGTTTTTCTTTTTTCCCCCCATAGCTCCCCTTATGCCACCATCTTGGTTTCTCCTCCTGATTGTTTTCTTAAGATTAATTTTGGAAAGTAAAAGAAGTGCATTATATGGTATGAGCATTTCTTAATGTACAATTTAAAAAATATATATACTTTTGAGGATTAAAAGCTGTTTTTTGTATGTGTGCTGATGGGAAATTGTACTGCCTTCGCTAACATCTTCCCTCTGAGTTGCTTCTACCTGCAGTAACTATGGTTACTCAATTTCCTGAGAAAGGTAGAAATGAAAACCTTAGGAATTATCTGAAGGGGAAGATGAAAATAATAGGATTTACTAAATTATTAAAGGGCTCAGTTATTGAAATCTAGTCTAAATATAATACAGATCCCACATGTTAATACTTTTTTCATTTGATTAAAAATTTTAATAAGCTTTTCTTTGTAACCTGTAGAAAAAACAATCCTAGTATACATAGAATTATTTAGTTTTTGTTAATCCTCACCCAAGGATATTTTTCCATTGATTTTTAGAATGAGTGGAAGGGAAGGGGAAAGATAGAGAGGGAGAAACATCAATGGGAGAGATACAACGATTGATATGAATAGCCTACTTCTAGACCAGTGATGGCGAACCTATGACACGCATGTCAGAGGTGACACGCGAACTCATTTTTTTGGTTGATTTTTCTTTGTTAAATGGCATTTAAATATATAAAATAAATATCAAAAATATAAGTCTTTGTTTTAATATGGTTGCAAATATCAAAAAATTTCTATATGTGACATGGCACCAGAGTTAAGTTAGGGTTTTTCAAAATGCTGACACGCGGAGCTCAAAAGGTTCGCCATCACTGTTCTAGACCATACTATATATACTATACATGTTATGTAGGCCTCATTTCCATTCTCCATAGGCCATAGGTAGGTGGTGGATAAAACATATTTTGGCCCAATTTTAGCAAAGAGTCTGTTTCTAGGTCTACCCTATAATTGGCATGTTGAACCCTTGGAGCTTTGGAGCTGTAGCCTACACACTGCTTTTAGTCCTTTTTTCTTTAGGGTTTTAGTGCCCACTCAATGTTTCTCTGTTTTTGACCCACAAAGATCTTATTCTTTGTTATGGAGTGTAAGCTATGTATTAAAAGTTTTATTCCTGTATATCCTTCTAGAGGTGATTTAGGCATATACAAGGAAATAGAAATATGCTTGTTTTCCTTTCTTTTGTACACAAAAGTTAGCACACTGTTTTGCTTTCCTTAGCAATAAGTTAGGAAATACTTCCATTTAAATCTGAGAGCCAGTAATTATAATGATCTTAACTCCTTTAAAATGTTATTCATGTAATTCTCACAACAACTATAACTACTTCTTTCAATTTTAACCATGTGTTAATAATATGACCACTTGTTTAGGGTGACAGAGTTTGTAAGTGAAAAATAATTGGCACCACCCTAACTGGTTTGGCTCAGTGGATAGAGTGTTAGCCTGTGGACTGAAGGGTCCCAGGTTTGATTCCGGTCAAGGGCATGTGCCTTGCTTGCGGGCACATCCCCAGTAGGGAGTGTGCAAGAGGCAGCTGATCGATGTTTCTAACTCTCTATCCCTCTCCCTTCTTCTCTGTAAAAAATCAATAAAATATACTTTTTAAAAAATTGGCACCATAGTTGTACTCTGAACCACTAGATTACTTACTAGTACTGGCTCTCCTAGCTCTTGTATTTTAAAAATTTTTTTACAAAATAAAGAAACTTTACTTTTTAACCAATAACATGAAACAAGTTCTTGAGTTGTCATCTAGTAATTTTGTGTAAGGGAAACTAAAAGCAGCCCAAATAATTATACTACTATTCATTGTTCTAACACTTAGACAGAAAGTATTATTTTAGGCTGGCTGCTGCTTAATACAGGTTACAAGTAACTATTTACTCCTTTTTTAAAAACAAACAAACAAAAAACATGTATGTTTTTATTGATTTTAGAGAGGAAGAGAGAAGGAGAGATAGAAACATCAACAATGAGAGAGAATCATTGATCTGCCGCCTCCTGCATGCCCCACACTGGGGATCCAGCTTGCAATCTGGGCATGTGCCCTGACTGGGAATCGAACCTTGACCTCTTGGTTCATAGGTTGACGCCCACCCACTGAGCCACCCAGGCTGGGCTATTTACTACTTTTTCATAGATAAAACCCCTGACCTCCAAGAGAGCTGTAGGCGGAAAAAATTTAACCCCTTTTTCTTTCTTCAAAAAATTGTATTTTTTTTTTTAACTACATCTAAGAAAGAAAAAGTCAGTACTGATATGTTACTTGAGCTAAAAGACATAAGGAACCAGACAATGTATATATTGATTAAATTTCTAAGAAATACGAGGTAAAAATTGAAATCTTTGAATAAGTTTTAAGCTTCTACAAAGAAGTAGCATTTGCCATTCGACATAAAATGAAGACCTTACCTCTGCACTTTACTTCCGCACCTCCTCTGAGTCTCAGTGTGCTTTTCTCTTTCCTTCTAGTTGTAGAATTTCCACTCAGCCAGCCTTCCTGTGGTTCTGGATGATGTCCGTTTTGTCTTTTAGTTGTATTTTTGAAGTGGTTGTGCGAGGCAGCAATTTCAGGTGTTTACCTATGCCACCATCTTGGTTTCTCCTCCTGATTGTTTTCTTAAGATTAATTTTGGAAAGTAAAAGAAGTGCATTATATGGTATGAGCATTTCTTAATGTACAATTTAAAAAA